CCAAGTACCAAATGCAAGTTAAAATCTACCATTTTATACTGCTGTTGAAAAGTTTGGGATCAGTATTTTTTAAGAAAATTAATACTTTTAATCAGCATTTAATGATGCATTAAATTGATCAAAAGAAGCAGTAAAGATATTTATAATGTTAAAATAACAAATGTTTCTTGATCACCAATCAGCATATTAGAATGATTTCTGAAGGATAATTTGACACTGACAACTGGAGTAATGACTGCTGAAAATTCAGCTTTGCGTCACATAAATAGATTACATTTTAAAATATATTCAAATAGAAAACATTTGTTTTAAATTACAATAATATTTCACATTATTACTGATTTATTGTTGTATTTTTATTAAATAAATCTTGTCTTGGTGAGCATAAGGGACTTCTTTTAAAAATATTTTAAAAATCGTTCTGACCCCAAACTCTTGAATGGTAGTGTATGTTTACATAGTAGAAAGCCTAAAGATTAAACACAATTATGTTTGTATGATATGATCTATCAAATCTATGACCTGAGACATTTGCCACAAACAGCTTAACATTGCCATAGTCAAAATAATAAAATATGTATATATTTTTGTGTTTATAAAAATAATGTAAATTGTATTATAAAGTTTCATGGTCAGCAGCAACAACAACAGCAACACTTATGGCTAATTAATATTTTCATTTCAACAGACATTGCTAGTCTGCCAAAAATTAATTCTGGATGGTAACTAGAGAGCTTTACAGCTTTTGGTCATCATATGCTTTTGTTGTATGGAAAATAGGAGCATGACTATTCTACAAAGTATCCTTTTGTATTCCAAGGTAGAATATTTATTAGTAAGTGAACTATTTCTTTTAGGGACCACCACTGAACCAAACCTTCATGTTTCAGATTTGACAAAGTCAACAACACTTTGGGCAGATATTAAGATGCATAGTAACATGGTAAGCATTTGTGAACATAATATGGGCTATGACTATCACAGCAGGTGTTACCTGATAGGTATTATCGAAGCTGTCATACATAAACCTGGTGATAAGTGAAGTTTTGCCCACTGTGGAGGAAGAGAAAAAAACAAAGAAATTACAAATAAGGGCCTCCCTCACAGTTAATGTGTCTCAAAACCTAGTGTGCTCCCTACATAGACAGCATGTTTGATGTTCGTATCGAAAGCATAATGTCAAAGATGCTGTCACGTAAGGAAGGGGATGCACTGGTCTGCAGGATGAGTCTGAACTCTGATCGCTGTGTTGGCAATATGGGTGTCGCCGTCCTGCTTTCACAGCAGCATACCATATCAATACAGGCTAAGACATGCAGTAGCTCTGGTTTACGACAGCTCGCTGCTCGCTTTTACGTCCGATCCAGCCATTATGAAAAGAAAACGTAGATGTGACGTGGACGATGTGGCAGTTAAACATCCCTGATGTGGTTTATGATCTCATGATCTTGATTGTCACAGCCGGCTAGTTAGAAACATGCTAACTTAACCGCTAGCTAGCGACCATCCTTACAACAACAGATAGTTTTGTTTTATACATTGAAACATGTTCATTCACAGCTGTAGCGCAATCTTATTTGCATTTTGTGTTAAATACTAACGATCGATGTGATCACAAATAAAAGGCCTTTAACATGGAAGCTCTCTATTGCGGCTAAGACCAGACAACACAAGCATGCTAATACAAGGACTTGATGGCTTCCTTCGATGTCTACATGCGAGAATACATAAACACTGAGGGGAAAGACATACAAATAACATGCACTTTGTAGGTTAAAGCATAATTGAGTTAATAATCGTATGTCGTATCTTTCTAATATAACGTTAGTTCGGATACTGCAAGGATGTTCTCATGATGTCTGTTCGTGTATTGTTCATGACAACCGTTTTCTGTACATCTTACTGCATTTTAAGTGCATGTGCATAATCGTATCCGTCCAAACTGTCAGATAATTATTTTCGTGTTTATTTGGTAACATGTATCCTTCTGTAGCATCCTTTCACCTGGCCTGTCCTGTCCGTTTCTCTGTCCACGTCTCACATATCTCAACACTTACCGCTTTGCTCGCCCAAGAAAACCAGCTTAAATTTCCGCAGAGGGTTGCCAAACTCTCCGCCACCGGTCGTAGTAGACATCTTTATCGAGTACAATAAACAAAAACTATCTAAATATGATTATTTTCTGTACGCGGACTGAAGGACACTGTGCAGTTCAGTGACGGAGCGCTGATAGCTGATGGTGACAGCGCCTCTTGGTGGCCAGAGATGGAAGCGCATGACACGCTGTGGCCGTGTTTCACAGCCTAGTGCTAGAGAGCTGCCTACTTATGCTGTCTAGGCTCCAGTCAAGCGTTTGATCGCCAAAATGCTGTCTTAGTAGGCAGCTGACTAGGTTTTGAGACACAGCCTATGTCTACTGTCATGCTGCGTTCAAGTCCTCCTGGGACGTTCGTACTTACGAGTTGACAAGTCGTAATTACGACGTCAGGTGCGTTCAAGTCAGTTTAGTCGGCACAAGATGGCGGTGTACCTACTTTTAATAAATTACAAGAAAATACAACAGGGTCTGTTAACTCTGCTTATAGAAAATGGAGAGCAAAGAATTCGCATCAGGTGTGTATTGCGTTTTTAATATTTTTAAAAAGTAATTTATGAAGCCACTTTAATCTATCGCATAAAAACGTATTGTTATATTACAATCCTGCCACATTAAAAAAGCTTATTTTTTTGTCAATAAAAAGCCTGACAATGTCACTGCTTAATACCTATAAGTATTGTGATTTATGTTTTACTTTGGCAATCTCTCGGTCTCCCTCTGTCAGACATGCAGTTCTACAGTACTTGTCACTGACGAATTAACTATAAATTTAAACAAAAATGTACCGTCAACTACAGACTCGTTGCATCCATCGATTCCGCCATGTTTCTCATTGACACGCCCCCAACTCGGAAACTCGGGGATTAAAGAAACTG